TTTACTCACATTTTAATATCCAGGGACCCATTCTCCTTGCTGTCCATGCTCTGTGTAACCATGGGGCTGCTGGACGAATCCCCGGCTTCCACTAATACACAACGAGACAGAAACAGGACAGTCACACATCACATTAAACCGCCAGCCCGGTAATGGTTAAATCATACACTAATGACATGATAGTCCACTAAAAACACAATGCATTTATCAGTTGGAACTTTAAAGAGATTTATCCTGAGGCCCTCTTCCTGGTGTCTAAAAATAGTCAATGCTTCATTTCCTGAATCATTCATAGACAAACTCAAAGCTCTGGAAAGGCCCAGAAGGTTAATATTTTACCCCATTACAGGACAGATTTTTCCTGTGGTCACTGCTTTAGTGGGGTGCAGGGTACAAAGTCCTAAACTTCAAACAGAAAGAAATCCAGATTCCCTCCTTGCCATTGCGGTCAGACCCAGGCTCAGTCTTTTATAATAGATTATACAGGGGGGACACATTCGCTATCAGCTTCCTGACATTCTACCAGACCCAGGCTTAGTCTTTTATAATAAGTTATACTGGGGGATACGTTCGCTATCAGCTCCCTGACATTCTGCCAGACGCAGGCTCAGTATTTTATAATAAGATATACTGGGAGGGGATACGTTCGCTATCAGCTTCCTGACATTCTGCCAGACCCAGTCTTTCATAATAGATTATACTGGGGTAACAAGTTCGCCATCAGCTCCCTGACATTCTACCAGACCCAGGCTCAGTCTTTCAGAATAGATTATACTGGGGTAACAAGTTTGCTATCAGCTCCCTGACATTCTGCCAGACTCAGGCTGAGTCTTTCATAATAGATTATACTGGGGGGGACACGTTGGCTATCAGCAGCCTGACATTCTACCAGACCCAGGCTCAGTCTTTCATAATAGATTATACTGGGGGCCCATGTTCGCTATCTGCAGCCTGACATTTCCACACCTAACAAAAAGCATCATCAGGCAGAGAGCCCCCCATGTGATGCCAACCTCGGATTATTGGGCAGCATGACAGGGGCGCAGTATGCAGGGAGACAGAGAAATAGGAACACACAGACCAAGCGTCTCAGATTACTGGCTGACAATTTAAAGGGACAGAGAGAATCATGGCTTTATACCGGTGTAGCAGGACCTGGGTAACCCGGCTGGTTATTCCCTTTATTAATAATAGGTCAGAACCATTTACCCTAGTAACTGGACGACACACAGTTCCCGGGTACAACCTTTCACAATCTTTATTTGGGCACGCAGCTTTTTATGCACAGACCCCCACAGGGGGTCTCCATTCAACACAACACAATCCCAGGCAGAAGGGGGCTGGGCTGCAGATAACCATCTCCCGCTCTGGGAGATACCAACAGGACACAGGGACACATATGAAAACACAATACATACAGGGGGCTTTGGGGCTCGGCGGCCCGGGGCAGGAAGGGGTTACAGGGTTGAAACGTATATATCACTAAATAGCCCCGAGTCCCATCTGGTATTCCTGCAAAAGTGGGGTGATGTCATTGTGACGGACCGATGGCACTCCGACTGAGTACCTCCGCCAATCAATGCTCCTTACGCTTGCCGAGGACTCCGAGCACTCCAACCGACACCATCAGCACTGTGGACCCCACTTCCAGCTATGCAGCTGCGCCAGGGTCTCGCCGTCTCTAACCCACCCTGGATCCACGACCAGGATCCAGCTCTCCTAAATCCAGAGAGCGTAGCAGGAACAAATCAAGCTCTTACAAGAGCTTACTCTGGGGAGTAAGTGATTATAGCAATCCCCAAGGCTTCAAGAAAGGTGCAAGTAGGTCTGGTTTATTGAGGCCTACCTGCCCGGTATTTATGCAAGTGTCCACCAGGTGGACACTCCCCTATGGGACCTGATGGAACAATTGGACACATATTGGATATCCGCCAATCACAGACAATACAAACAAAACACTCCCACAGTGACATCACAATCCCTCCTCTCTATCCTGGAGATAATTGGGAAGTAATCAAATTATCTCCCAGGACAGAGGCAAGACTCCATTAACCACATGGCAGTAAAAAGACATAAAATTACACAATGTTACAATTACTGCATAAAACATATACATGCAACATATCCCCAGATAGCTTAGATCTGAGCGCACATTATTACCGAATGGCGCTCAAATCACCTACATACAGTTCAATTGCCATGGAGCCAAAGTCTTTTCCATAGTCTTTTGTTACACGAATAGGCTCCATGGCCTAGCTATCTGGGGTAACACTACTCACATACTGAAAGTTCTGAACGCAACGCAGAAATACACAAACTTTTCTGCAGGGGAAAATACAGATATCAGCACATGGGCCATAGTCAGAAGGCAGGAGGCTAGCCAGTAGTCCCCTCCAGGCACAAGTGGCGAAGGGCACTTCGTCACAGTCATGTACAGAGCCTGAAATATCAGACTTCAAAGTCTGGAGCTCGAGGCTCTGTACATCCCCAAAAGTAGTTCCATGGAGTTGCTTGGTTTAGTTCGTCAAATTCAAACTTCGCGCCTAAACCAATCAACAGTCAATCGGCTGAAAGGGTGCGAAACCGGACTGCACCAATCCGCTGAAAGGCACGAAAAATATGTGCTGAGGGACCAGAGGAGCTTCGGAACGGTGCTTCTGCTCTGACTGGTCGTCGGCGCTCCGTAGTGACCAGTCAGCGCTTACCCGTGCCGACCAACCAGGAGAATGGCGCAAACCCAGCTTGAATGGACACGCCTTCTCCCATTGGTCAGCACGGACTTCCACGCGGCCAGCGGGACCCTGCAGCTGTGAGACCGACTCACAACTCCTGAGAATCCCTGCTGGCACATGTCCCTCTTCCCAGTGGATACCCCCATGCAGAAATCCATCGGAGAGAGTGTTCTCCTGATCAGCCATGAGCTTAGCCTCGTAGCGGCCAGGTAGGGGAGGTAAAAGTGATTATAGCTCCGTTGAGGAGCGGGTAGGACGAAACCCGACATGGGGATCGAAGACAGTGCGTGCGGGCCGGTTCGGGAGACTAATGCTCCGTCTGGTGGGCGTTCGGTGATACGAACCAGCGGCCACCCAGGGGAAGCACGCGCAACTTGTTTCCTTGTGGTTTTCACACTTTGTTAGCGAGGTGTAAACATTCTAACTAAATGTTCTAAGTGGAGTATCTGGGTGGTCCAGCACAAGGGGCTCCGTGTGTCGGAGCGCCCCCGTGTGGTTAAAAGGTACTTTGCATGATTTAAGATCAAAATCTCTTGGGGACAATGGCGGTTTGGCGGGCTTTCTGTGGCTGGGAGTTAGAGGCGGGAAGCCTCTGGGACTCCCAGGTACAGAAGCTTATGGGAAGAAGACCCCCCTGCCACGGTAAGTGGGAAACCCTGTATTTGGGTGTCGGGAACTGGGGACAAAAGGGACTAGAGTCTCTGTCACACACACAGGCCCCTGAGAGGGGGGAGGACCCTGTGAGGGGGCACTGAGTGGCAGGAACAGGGGACAAAGGGATTGAGGTTCCAGTTCTGCTGTGCGTTAGCATACGAATACTCTTTATTTCAAACATACACGAATACATCCTTATATACAATAAAAGCAGACAACCTTCTGATGTGATGCAATAAAGTCTTAAAGTGGCTAGGTTTGCCACAATGCTTCCCCAGAACCAAACGGATTGGCTTGGGGATGTCCGGAGGAGTACTCACAGATCACTTCTCAAGGTCAGATTGTCTAGATAACCCGTCGGCGCAACCGTTTTGCTTCCCTGGGCGGTAATGAATGGTAAAGTCAAAAGGCTGCAGCACCAAACTCCAGCGCAGCAGCCTGGCATTGTCCCCAGCCACACCAACGGGTTGTGATCTGTGAGTAGGGAAAAAGGTTGTCCATATAAATAAGGCTGCAACTTTTTGAGGGCCCACACCACGGCCAGGCATTCTTTCTCGATGGCGGCGTAGCTTACTTCTCGGGGCAATAACTTTCGGCTTAGGTAAGCTACGGGATGTTCTCCGCCATTTGCTCCAACTTGGCTCAGCACTGCTCCCAATCCAAACATTGAAGCGTCTGTGTGGACAAGAAATAAATTAGTTGGATCAGGAGCAGCAAGAACAGGTGCATTGGTTAAAGCAGTCTTGAGTTGTTGGAATGCCTGATCACACTCTGGGGCCCAGATGACCTGTCGAGGAAGGTTTTTGCGGGTCAAGTCAGTCAGGGGTTTGGTCAGGGCACTATAATTGGGTATGAATTTTCGGTAGTACCCTGCAGTACCCAGGAAGGCTAGCACTTGGGTTTTTGTATGGGGGGTAGGCCACTTAGCTACTGCTTTGATTTTTGCTGATTCGGGCTTTTGCTGTCCACTCCCTACCATTACCATTTCCTGAGAATCAAAACCTTTAATGTGCATGCAAAGGGAAAACCTTGGATTTCTTTCTTTGCTCCTGAATAGTGATGCCGCGAACAGCTCGCCACGGTTCGCCATGAACCGTTCGCGGCGAGCTCCGGTCAGCAGGTCTGCTGGAGATTGGCCGGGATGTGTCAGCTGACTGGAGCTCGCCGCGAACGGGAAGTTCGCAAACGGGAAGTTCGCAAACGGTTCGCGACATCACTACTCCTGAACTGTTCCTTATCAAGCGACCAAAACTGCACTCCTCTGGTAGAGGGAATTCTTCATCAGAAGATTCACTAGAATCCTTGTTTAGGCTGTTGACAAAGCACCATAACCTTGAGGGGCGGGCGTACAAAAAACAATTAGGTGCCCGTTAGGCTGCAGTATTGTAGTAAATCAACAAATTTATAGGATGGGAACATTCTGCATAGTGAGTGAATCACAAGAAGCAATTGCCATTTAAGCTATTTCTTTAAAAAGAAAACAGCAAAACAAACATAGGCAGTAACAATA